TCAGAGGGGTCAAGGTGTGCACAGAGGAGGGGGCCTCAGTGCCCCTGGAGATTTAGGGGAGCTTAGCCTACCTCAGCTCCAAGCCATCCAGTTCCATTTCTCTTCTTCTTTGGGCTCCTGTTGACCCTTTCTCAGCCACGTCTTCCACATCGTGCTCTTCCAAACCCCAGTGTGCATAGGAGTCACTTAGAGATCTCGTTAAAAGGTAAATTCTCTTAGGGCGGGTGGAGGGTGGAGCCTGAGATTCTGCATTTCATACATGATTCCAGGGGGTGGCACTGTTGCAGCCAGACTGTGCAACCCACTACAAGGTGCGGGGTGGGGGGGGGTTCCCAAGGCTGTTTCTTCCCCCGCCTTGTTGCAGCCTCATTACCTCAAGCCAGCACCAGGGCCCAGCCCACAAGCGCTCTCCCTGCCTCTCATCCTAGACTGTGCAATATGGTCACCACCAGCCATAGTGCCTACTTAAATGCCAATTAATTAAAACTTAAAATTTCCTCTCCTATTCATAGTAGCAGAAAAGATATCGAGCACTTTCTTCATTGCAAAAGTGCCGTTGGATGGCACTGCGCAATAATCTCAGCTCCACCTAAACTAACCACAAACTGGCTGCCAGCCTCACCACACCATCAGCTCCTTGAAGGCAAGCTCTCTGTTTGTCTTGTCATTTTTCTCTAGCTGCAGAACCTACCCCATATCCTTTCTCTCATTTGACAAATATGTATTGATCATCTCCTATATAGCGGATGCTGTGCTTAGCACTGGGAGCAAGTGGAGCCCAGAGGTGAACAAGACGAACACGGTCTGTGTAATTGCAGAGGTCACAAAACAGGTGCTCCATATATATGTCTTCATTGAAATGAATAAGTGAATAAATCATCCACAGACCACCCCCAGGGAGATCTTCGCAATGATTTTCATAATTGTCCCCAACCCAGACATTTTTAACACTTGCTTTCAATCTGCAGAAGAAAATCCAGATGGGGTATGAGGCTCTTCTGAGAGGCAGAGATGCGTGATTAGCATCTTCGTTTGTTACGGCTGCCGTAACAAACACCACCGACTGGGTGGCTCAGACATAAATTGATTTCTTCCCACAGCCCTGGGAGTTAGAAGTCCAAGATCAAGGTTGTCAAGAAAGTTGGTTTCTCCCGAGACCTCTCTGCCTGGCTGGAAGACAGCTGCCTTCTCTTAGTGTCTGCGCGGTGGTTCCTCTTCTTATAAGGACACCGGTCAGATTGGATTAGGGCTCACCCTAATCATCTTAGTTTAATTAATTTTTTTTGAGATGAAACCTCACTCTGTCACCCAGGCTGGAGTTCAGTGGCACAATCTCGGCTCACTGCAACGTCCGCCTCCTGGGTTCAAGCGATTCTCCTGCCTCAGCCTCCCAAGTAGCTGGGACTACAGGTGTGCACCACCATGCCCAGCTAATTTTTGTATTTTTAGTAGAGACGGGATTTCCCCATGTTGGCCAGGCCAATCTCGAACTCCTGACCTCAGGTGACCCACCCTCCTCGGCCTCCCAAAATATGAGATTATAGGCATGAGCCACCACAGCTGTCCGCTTAGTTTAATTTAATCACCCCTTTAAAGGCCTTGTCTCCAAATACAGTGCCACTGGAAAGAGCTTGGAATCAGGGCTTCAACATATGAATTTGGGAGAGACACAGTTCAGCCCATAGCAATTAGAAATACGATTTTGGAAACTAACGGAACTGGGTCCTGGCAGCAGTTCTGCAATTCCTGCCAGTGGAAGGGGACTTGACTTGTCTGAGCCTGTTTCCTCTCCAGAGAAAGGTGCTAAGCCTACCTCCCTCCTGAGGCTGTCAAAAAAATTACAAGCAATTGCTTGCATGAAACACCGAGCAGAGCCAGCACATAGTAGGCGCTGTGTTAATTACAGCCACTGGTGTCACCACTCTACCTCCCCGATCCCCCAGCAGCAAGCCTTCCCTTTCCTGTGGTCCCTGAGTGCCCTGAGCCTCGCCTCCCAAGCCTGGGTTCCCAGCCCGGCTCCTCGACTTCTCTCCCTCTCATCACATTCAGACCTTAGTCTTCCTTCCCCAACTCCTTCAGACCCCCGTTCTCTAGGTAGCCTTGCTGTCAGAAGTCAGTCCCAGCTCTTCTTCTCCGAGCTGTGATTAGCATTTCTGTCAATTCCACACCAGCACTCAATTAACACCTAGGAATTAAAACCCCACGATGTTAATTTGTCTGCTAGCTCCCCTGCCCCACCACAGTTATGCCACCTTCCCTGTTAGATGTGAGACATTTGAGATCAGAGCCCACCATTATACCCTTTAGTCTCTCTCATAGCACCTGTCAAAGTGTCTCAAACACAGTAGGCCTCTATCAACCAACAGAGTTTGTGGACATAAAAATACTAATATATGGTCAATATTCACTAAGAATTGGGGGGGGGGGGGCGGTGTCTGTTTAGCATTTAAACAGCCATGGGAAACAGAAACATCAAACTCAGGCTCAGGCTGCTGGTTCTCTCTTGGGGGAAGAGGAGGTAATCCTGTGTGGATTTCACAGTGTTGGCAATATCTGGTTTTGTTTTTTTGTACTGGACCGCAGCTACCGTACTATGTTAAATATTGCAAGATAAAATGTCCTTACTTGATAGACATCTGCTGTTTAGAGATGAGCTTATTAACATATACAAGGAATGTATCAGGAATTCTCCTGACGAGAGAAAATGCTTAAAATACTTGTTTTAGAAGCTATTTAGTTAGGATTTCAGAGTATAACTCAACAAACTCCTTTAATTAATATTTTATCTAACAGGAAATATTTATGAGACATTACCAGTCTCATAAATGCAAATAGAATTTCTATAAATAGGAGAAAAAGTAATTTTCTGCAAGTCTCATATTCTAAAGAGAAAATCTTTAATTGTGAAGCCATCTCCTGTGCGATGAAAGAAGGTAAGAGAAGCAGATGAAGGGAACAGAGGAGATGGGGCTGTCCTCTAATTAACGGTGATAATACATAAACATTTTCTGTTGCTTTCAAGCACCTCCTCAGCAATTTTCAGACAATAAAAGACACACCTAGCACCTTGCACTCCTCCCTGAGTAGTTCTCTTATTCATTTCTATCCTCAAATGTTGTCTGTGCTCTTTGAGAGGCTTGGTCATGGAAAAGCTAAAGCTCCTATAAGTTTGCAACAATCATTCAGGACTAGACACCCCAAATTTCTCGTTTTTCAGTTCTCAGGTGAGACCTGGACACAGATTTTTGTGTCTCCTGATCCAAGGTCCCATCACTGAGAGAATCTTTGCAAAACAGTATTTCCCAGAGCAACCTACATTTTGCTTTCAAGTCAGTCCAGCTCCCTTCCCGCCCGCCCCCCTCCCCTGCCGCCACCCCATAATGGCAGAAGGAGTATCATGGTCTTTACATATAATCCAAAGGCAACCACTAACCCAGGACAGAGCCCCTCCTCAGCCCTCAGCAGATGATTATAGTGCGTGCTGTCTGGACCTGAGAACTGCACAGCCAAAGCCTCTCCCAAGAACTAGGCAAGGAAGGAATTAAGAACTTTTTCCTCATTAGTATTCAGCCCTCAGATCAGCCAACATACAGTGAGGTGTGTGAGCACCTAGGCAAGCTGAGTCCCTAAGGGGACACAGAGCTTTCCTGTTAGGGACCGTTGTGGCCACATTTAGTAATCATCCCCCTCTACAGAGACAAGAGGGGCATCCAGGAGGCCCACTGTGGCAGGGCTGCTCTGAGAACTGTCCCAGAGGAGGGTGCCTGGGCAATGGGCTGCATGCACGCTAGCCTCCAAGGCAAGAGGACCCCCAGGGCACTATTAGAGACCACATTTCCATGTCACTGTGCTTACAGGAGAGGATAGACTTGGTGCCCTCCAAGTATTAGTGACAAGCATTTTTCTCATTGCAAGGTAATAAACCAGTTTTCTGGTCATAGACGTCTTCTCTTAGCACTTGTGCTAGGTGCTGGGGGTACCCTACTTTTGACCAAGTTGTGTCTGCCCCTGAGGGAGGGGGCTGGCATGGGGGATGTTGACCGAAAAACGCTGGGTGACAGAGAGGGGCCAGAAGGAACACCACCCGGGGAGAAGGGCCACCCAGAACAACCGGTCCTCAGAGGCACCCGCCGGCCCTGCCCAGACAGTAGCCCTCCTTCCAGTGTGCCCTGGCAGCTGCCTTTCCTACGGCCCCTACGATTTAAAGAACACACTCTGGGCATCATCTGTCCTCAAGGCAGGGAGGAATCCAAAAGGGAGAGCCGGGAGGCGGTGCGGAGGACGCCGGCTCTGCCCACGCCTGGGCAAGGTTGAGCTCTCGCGGCCGCTCCGGCCTCCGGTCCGTGCAGGGCGCGTTTCCAGCCATCGCCGCCCAGCAGACGCCGCACGCCCGGAAGAGAACGTCCGGGGTGAGCAGCGAGCCCGGGGACAGCTGGCCTGGGTCCTGTCCCTGGACCTACCCCACCTGCAGCCGGCGGATCAGGCCCCGGACCCTCCCTCCACGGCGGGTGCCAGAGCCGTCGCGCGGGGGACGCAGCGCCCAGACTGCGGCTCCCCCGCCTTCCGAAGGAATTCCCCCATCTGCTGCATCCCTCCCGGGAAACCGAGAAATGCTGCCAACCGCCCGCTCCGCGCACCGCGGAGCGACCGAGCATCCCCGCCGAGGCTCCGAGCCAAGATTTCTGCCCTAATAGTTTCTCCCTTCTTTCTGTCTGCTCCACCGCACCCACTAAACACGCGGCGCTCACACACGGACACGCGTGCACACGCGGCGCTCACACACAGGCGCGGGGCGCTTGCGCGCGCGCAGGTCTCGGTCCCTGGCACCCGCAGCAGGGGTGCAGCCGGGGGCAGGGGGAGCCGGGGGAGGGCGCAGGGGGCCGCGGGTACCCGAGCGGAGGGCTGGACGCCTGCCGGGCTCTCCCGCCGCCTTCCTCCTCCCTCCCAGTCCTACCGAGCTGACGGCGTCCCGGATCACATGGAGCCCCCGCCCCACCCCAGCCCGCCCCCCGCCGCCAATGCCGGTGGCCCTTCCAGTCGCGTTACTATCCAGAGATTCATCCGTACCAGGGACGGAGGGAGAGAGGAGGGGAGAGGGAGGAGGGGACACACACACACACACACACACACGGGGGTGTGGGGAGAGAGAGAGACTGCCTCCAGCTGCTCTCGCTGGAGAAAGGGAGTGACCCAAGGGGCCGCGAGTGAAGGGGCAAGATGGCTTAGGCACCTCTGCCCAAACGACCCCACGACAGGGAGAGGTTCCAGCTACAGCTCCTCCGTGGGGTCATGGCAGGGGCTGGGGAGTCCCCCCGAAATCCCTGAGCGCCCCTTGCACTGCCGCTAAGGGACACCTCAGAAGTTAGCCTCAGTGGGACTCGGCAGCTCCGATCTCAACAAGTAAGTTGTCTTTTTTTCCTCCTCCATTTCTCCCCCGGCTCCCGGGTTCTGGCGGGCAGGACGACACGCTCAGGTGTCCATCGCAGGGGCAGCAGGCTTTCACAGGGAACCTGCTAGATTGGGAGCCGAGGGGATAAGGAAAAGCTTAGGGCAGGTCTTAAGTTTAGCCAGGAAATTGGAGATCTCCGTGACTGCAGGATGCCCTGGGCGTGGGGAGCCCAGCCATAAACACCTCCACTTCTGGCTCTAGACCAGGGCTACCTGGGGGCACCCCAGGTGTCCCAGCAGTGGTGTGAGAGGCAAGGACAGTGACTAGGGAGGTGTGGGGTGGGGTGGGGAGGATATTATTCATCTAGTAGGACCCTACCTTCAAATGGGAGCAGGGAGGGCCAGGGTGGGGGCCGTGGCCCCTTAGCCTTAGATTCCCAGTCTAATCTTGCTTTCTCTTTTAAGTGTGGCCAAATTGGAAACATAGCCTTGTGATTTCTGCCCCCCTCACTGCCAGGGTCACTTCCTGCATACCTCCCTATCTCTTTTTAAACAGCTTTCAAAGGGTTCAGAAAGGCCAGGGGTGAAGGCTTCGAGGACAGAGGATAGGGAACAGGGAAGGGCAACCTTGTCATTGCTCCCCTTCTCTTCAAGTCAGTGTTTCTCCCTGCAGGGCTGTTGCTCCCTGGTTTTATCTGTGCCTTCCCTCAGACAGGGCTCCCCCAGGGCTGTGGAGGGCCTCAGGTCCAGCCCCCAAAGTTCTAGGGCTGCCCAGAACCTGTGAGCAAGGCCAGCCTAGAACCTCTTCCAGAATTCTTTTCAAACACCAGGAGAAGATCAACAGGAATGTGCCAAGTACTTGACTCTGTTTCAATCCTTTTAATAAGCCGAGATTATCACCTTCCTTCTACAGGTGAAAAATTGCAGCCCAGAGAGGCTGTGCCACTTGCCTGAGGTGCACAGCTCATAAAGGGATATTCCTTCCTAGCTCTGACTCCAAAACATGCCTCGTTTTCATCATAAGCCATGCTTCATAGGGCTTTCTTGTTCCCAAAGCACTTTTCCATGTGAGAAAAAGGCTAATATTTATGAAACCAACGTGCTGAGCTAGATACGTTCATGAGCTCATCTTGACACCAGTCCTGTGGGCAGAGCCTGTGTCTTCTGTTTTGTAGATGAGTAAGGGTGATGGAACTCCAAGCACTACGTGGCAGCAGCACTGTTATTTCCAAAGCTCTTGTCCTCTGGCTTTAAATCCAGGGTCTTTCAGCTAACAAGAGCTAATTCTGAAAGCTGCTCTGGTCTTCCCTCGTCCCTGCTTTTCCTCAAAGCCAGGTGTAAGTCGCACCATCTGGCTGAATGAGGCCCTCAGGCTTCCTGGAATCTGAGGAATGAACAGAGCAGAGCAAATGATGTGGGAGTTGGAGGCCCGTGGCTGGACTCTGGCGTGAAAAGCTTGGTCGGCGTGGCTGGCATTTTAAACTATCTATGGAGCCCACCTGAGATGGCACCATTCGGCCTAGAGGCATAAGGCCATCGAGGGGAGGCCTGGGGCACAGGGTATGTGCTTCCTGGAAAAGCAGCAGCAGGGCCACCATTGAAAGAGAGGAAACATCGCATAGAGCACTTGCCAGCTCAGGGGACTGAGGTAAGAGGCTTACTTGAGCCCAGGAGTTCAAGACCAATCGGGGCAACATAGCAAGACCCCATCTCAAAAAAAAAAAAAAAAAAAAGGAGGGATAGAGAATTTGCCTATACATTCTACAAAGCACAAGGATGGTCCCCAGAGCAACATTCTAGCCCTGATACCTAGCTCTCCAACAGAAAGGGAACCAGCCACTCAGGCATGGCTGTTTTCTGGCCTCTCCAAAAACTGCTATAAATTGCTGGCGTTACTCACAGGCAGCATTTTTTATTTAAGTAGCCTGCCTGCATTCAGCAGAAAATGAATGTGCTCCATCCAGCGAGCAGTTGAGCTGAAGGAGGAGCCAAGGGTGAGGAGGCTCAGAGAGGAGGTGGGCCACATTCACTCTGCCCAGGGCTGTCCCCAGAGCTTAGCTACCTTCTCTGGGATGAAGTCAGATCTTAGTGGGATTCCCCATCGTGGCTTCCCCGGAGTCTGCTGGCTCGTCCTGAGCAGTGCAAAGCTCTTCATTTGTGGGTCCAGCAGAGACATGCGTGAGGCTCTGTCACAGCATTCCCCTGCCTCGCTGCCTCTGGCGCAAAGCGAGATCCCTCTGGGGCTTTCTGCAAGCTCCTGACTGGGTTTCTTGGCCAGGAATTCAAGAGACTCTGAAGGCTGCTCTAGTCATCTGTGATGAAGTAAACTCCCCAGGCAGGAAGAAACGACTAGAGTACCCATTCTCCAGTTCCCACTTGCCCTTCAAATGACCTGATTCTTCTGTCTGCTGTGAGTGAAGCCACAAATGGGCATGCTGTGCTTTCATGTACTTGGAAACTACATGCACTTCACATTTTTAAAACTTGTTCAACAACTATACATTTGATCACTTATCATGTATCAGCAATAATTAATTTTTGAAAACCTTGGAATGTGGCCATTGGGGCAGGGTTATGCTTTTTGTTTAGGTGAATGTTAGCAAAAACTTGCATTTTCTGAGCTGATACTGATTGACTATTTAGGCTGGAGGTGGAAAGATAGTGGACAGAAGGCAGGGGTCAGGGAATCCATCAGGTGGTTCAAAGGGGCCATTTTTGGATGAAAATGTTCACTGTGTGTGGGCCACAGACAGGTCATTGAGAGCTGGCCGTGTTTCCAAGAGCAGATCCGTCATCAGATAACTGTTAGGATTGTTGTCAGCCGTGGAGGAATTAAAAAACAAAAACAAAAGCAGAAGAATGGGAGTTCCAATACAAAGGATTGTCGTGAGCCATTTGAATATCTGAGTGTATTTCTCAAGAAGACTTGTAGAGTGGCTTCCTCTGGAATTGTTTTAAAACGGAGTGGACAGCTTCCCTTTCTGACATTCTACCAGCCAGGGCTGGCATGAGCAGCTGCCTCTGAAGCCCCTGCTGGGCAGCAGCTTATCTAGTTCCTCCTACCTTGACATTCTGATAAGGGAGCTATTCTAGTCAGCAGGGCCCAGGATGGCGGGAACCCTTGCCAAGAGCCGTGCTAAGTTACATGGCGGAGCCAAAGCTTTAACGCGTGACCCTGGAGATCCTGGCTAGTGCTTAAATGTTAACTTCCATTATCATTTGGGACCACGGCAGCCTGAGGGCAAAGGTCACGGATCTTCTGACCAGTTGGCAGGTGGCAACAGCACTTCCTGGTCACCAGGGATCAATCAATGGGGTGGTCAGGTAATATGGGGGAAAGGAAAGGATGAGGGTGAGGGAGACATGCAGGGGTGAGGGAGGGAAGGAGAGAGCAAGTTTGGAGTCTCACTCTCATCCCCTGTGACTTGATGGTTCGGGCTGGGTGTGCCACCCACCCTGCAGGTTTTCTCAGACTTCAGGCACCCCACCGTACAATCAGGGAGATCCAATGCCATCATCCTACATTATTTCCTGCTGCTCTGAAAGAAAAATGGGAGCAGGGTGTGGTGCAAGAACCAAGAGGACCTCAGATGCTTCCTGGGGCCAAACCTGTGTCTCCCCCACAGAGTGTGCCCCCCACTTTCCCAACCCCGGGGCTGACTGCACTGCTTAGCACTTGGTGCCTGGAGCCCCGAGCAGTGGGAGGTGCTGCTTGTGCTCCAGCAAGGGGGCTGTCCAGCAGCGCCAGCAGAAGCCACGGGTGCCAGGCCCCAGCAACCAGCCCACTGGATGTCTCAGTATAAAGGCTTCCCCGGCCAAGTCACGTTGCTTTGTGAAGTGTCCTTCACCAGATGAACTCTCAAAAATATGCAGGGAGCTCCTAACACAGGTCAGGCCTTGTATAGGCACCTGAGCTAGAAGGTGGGATCTTACACACCAGGCCTGCCCTCCCTCCGAGCTCTCAGACCACTGCCCGGGGTCGGCGGAGCTGCCCAGAGAGATTCTAGCATCAGTGCTGCGAATTCTTAGGGAGCGGCACAGGGGGCCGCAGGGGTGAAGGCAGGCTGCCCTGAGGGGGCAAGGAAGCCTTCTAAGGGGGCTTAAGTAACAGGTTTGCTGGTGACCCAGCACCTGCCCCCAGCCCTGACCACCTTCCCTTGGTCTCTTTCAGTCTCCCCTGACCCCTCCTAAACATGCATGCTCGGCACATTTTATTCCCTTTCTCTTCCTCTCCCTGTCTCTCTTTCTTGGTTGGTTTGTTTCCCCTCCATTTTTGTCTTCTTTTCCACTCATCCTCTTCATCATAAGCGCATTTATGCTTCTTTCACTCAACCTCTTTATCTACTACAGTCACTCTTTATTTTTTCATTGAACGTTTTGGTATTGAGATGGTGATAGATTCACATGCAGTTTCGGAAATAATGAACAGAGATCTGCCATTCCCTTCATCCAGTTTCTCTCAGTGATAACATCTTGCGAAACTGTAGTACACCACCAAAACGGAAACGAATACCGAACTGGTAAGAAAACAACATTTCCATTGCCACGGAGATCTCTTCTGTGGTCCTTTTATAGCCACGCCCACTTCCCTCCCAACCCACCCTTTTCTTAACCTCTGGCAACCACTAGTCTGTGTGTGTCATCTCAAGAGTGTTATGTAAGTAGAATTATACAGTATGCAATACGTCATCTTTTGGGATTGGCTTTTTTCACTCAACAAAATTTTCCCGGAGATTCATTCAGGGGCGTGCATGTGTGCTTGTTGGGCGCGTGTGTGTGTGTGTGTGTGGTTTTTTTTATTGCTGAGTATTGGGAATGTGCCGTAGTGGGAATGCTCCGTAGTGGGAATGTACCACTGCTTGTTGAACCATTCACTCACTGAAAGGCATCTGGGATGTTTTCACTTGGGGCTATTGTAAATAAAGTTGCGATAAACATTTGTGGACTGGTTCTTACGTGAACACAGGTTTTCATGTCTCTGGGATAAATGCCCGGAAGTGTAATTGATGGGT